TAATTGTTTTAGGTTTATTATATTTCAATTTTAAGTGTGTGTCCTGTGAGTCTGGCTGTCTCTGGATTGGCTGGCACAGCCATTTCTGAGTCTTGCTGAATTACAAAAGACAAAAAGATATGTTCAATTTAATTATAGTATAGCATATTATTTTCTTGTAAACTTTCTGGTAAACTTGGAGATATGCTGTATTTTATTGCATTTTGCAAATCCCACTAAATCTATTTCACCTCTAAATCTCCAGCTGGTCCTAATTGTGTCTCTCTGCTCTGCTTAAAAACAGGTTTAACTAAATTATTGGTAGGGACTGTCTCCACGAGGCCAAAGTAGATGGGGACATGTCCATACCAGTCCATCGGGAAGTTATGCCTGTGTTGTACTATCAGTATTTTAATTTATGCAAAAAAATTTGTCTGCAAGATTTAACATTTATTGTCTTAAGAATTCATCACAATAAACAATTAGATGGTATGCAGTGGTGTACCTGAGCATAAAAGGGTTAAATCAAACATAAAACTGTCCTTATGAAGTTGAAATGTGAGATATTGAACTGAATTTATTAGTATTATCATCATATATCAAATTTCCGGTTACTTTATTATTTTAAGTACTTTTAAAAACCTAACCAGAGATTCTGCAATTTATTTTTACCACCTGGTTCCCCTAAAGGGAGGTTACACACTTGTTTGTCCTTTGCAATAGAGGGATTGCTGTTTTCTCCTAAAGATAATTCTTATTTCCTTTTTCCATTTCCTCTTTCATGTTAGGCCTTCTCCGCTTACTACTATGTGATGAACTTCCTCAATCTGACTGATACATCCATCCATTTAGAAACTGTGAAGAACAATCTGGCAAGCTACTGTGCTACCCCATGGAATCAGGTTGGGGTGTTTTTATTTAAAAGTCCAATGCTGTAATTTTATTGAGCTGTATTTATTCGTCTTTATTTCTAAATAATTTCTTAATATTTCCAGCTTACCCCTAATATACATTGGTTATATCTCAACGCTTTAATTGTTTTAACAGATAAAACAAATGCATCTGAGTAATGTTAAAGAGAAGTATCTGGCTGAGTATTGCTTCTCTGGCACATACATCCTTACACTGTTGACAGAAGGATACAACTTCACCAAGGAGACGTACTCAAACATAAAATTCATCAAAAAGGTTAGTAGATCACAATCCACCCTTTCCTGTTCTACACTTAAGAGCAGCACATGTCAGCTAATAAAGACATATTATGTACGTGGAAAAACTGTCAAGCTAATATATTTTCTTTTTCTAATCATTGGAAACTTTGTGCTCTAATCAGCTTCTGTTATTTCAGAGATGTTCTGACCCTTTTTTTCTACAGAATTTGGAACTTAGCTCATTATTTCATCATTGTCAGCCCTTTCCTGTTATTAGACCTCTAATGGGAAACACCTGATGTGACTGATTAAGGCAGAGCTAACTTCATACCAAATCCCCCAGCATGAGCTATGACTAAATCATTTCAAACAACTATGTACTAAATGCTTTGCTTGACCGGACAAACATTTCTTTACTTCAATTAAACTATACCTTAAAGCAACGTTCTGTAATAATTAATGGGTTTTACAGTGAGAAATGCAATATATTATCCATAAGTATGTTAATTATTATTATTATCTAAGAACTGAAAGTCAATAATTATGTTTTTGTAGCCTTAGAAATTGCTATGTATAATTACATAGGAGTGGATCATGCTTGTATGGAGGCAGACATCTTTGTGCTACGGCAGCACAGAGCTGACAAACTAGTGACTGCATAGATTGCCGTTATGCTCCAATAAGACAACAGCAAGTTAGGTCCATATAAGATACTGTATATATCTAACACAGAATTATCAAATAAATGTGATTATTTATAGAAATATCTATGTAAACTTGACTTGCATGGGTCAGTTGACACCGCACAAAAATTGGCCGCTTTTCGCATGATCGGCCACACATCTTTCTACTGTGCTTGGTATATGTTTGTTTTGGTCAAAGTTTCCAAAAGAGGGGGACAAATAACCCAAACAACAGAGGTAAGATGAGACAGCGTTCTGGAGCTCAGAGAGGAGCAGCAAAAAATCAGAGCAGCAGAGCCAGGATGATAGACCTAGACTTAGACTTCCTTTATTGTCAAGTGCAGGTGCTGCTGGCCCTTGAGATGTGGAGTGACCACCTGAGGTTGTCAGTGATGTGCACCCCCAGGAACTTGGTGCTGCTGACGACCTCCACAGCTGAGTCGATGAGGAGGAGGGGTGTTTGTCTGGATTTCCTGAAGTCGATGATAATCTCCTTGGTCTTTTTGACGTTCAGGATCAGGTTGTTCCCTCTGCACCAGTCCACCAGATGCCGCACCTCCTCCCTTTAGGCCGCCTCCTTGTTGTCCCGGATGAGGCCCACTACTTCAGGATGTGGTTGGACCTGAGGCGTGGACGGCAGTCGTGGGTCGTCAGGGTGAACAGCAGGGGCTCAGGACACAGCCCTGGTGGGTGCCGGTGTTCAGGGTGATGACGTCGGAGGTGTTGTTCCCCACTCTGACAGCCTGGGTTCTATCAGTGAGGAAGTCAAGCAGCCAGTTGCAGAGGGGGGTGTTTATTCCTAAGGTGCCCAGTTTGCCTACCATGTCCTGGGGGATGATTGTGTTGAATACTGAGCTGAAGTCCAGGAACAGCATCCGCACATGGGTGTTCTTCTCCTCCAGGTTCTCCAGGGTCAGGTGGAGAGCAGTGGTGACTGCATCCTCCGCACTGCGCTTGGACTGGTATGCAAAGTGGAACGGGTCATGTGATGGGGGGAGCGTGGAGATAATGTGGTCCTTAACAAGTCTTTCGAAGTACTTCATGATGGAGGATGTGAGTGCGACGGGGCGGAAGTCGTTAAGGCACGTGATGGTGGTTGTCTTTGGGACCAGAACAACAGTGGCAGACTTGAGGTACCGTGGGACAATGGCTTGGTCCAGGGACGTGTTGAAGATGTCTGTGAGCATGTGGGTCAGCTGGTCCGAGCATTCAGCCGACCTGGAATGTTGTCAGGACCTGCAGCTTTCCGTGCGTTGACCTTCCTCAGAACTTTCCGCACAGCTGATGTTTCCAGTCTGAATGCCTGTTCGTCCGGGTGTGGTGTCGCTTTCCTCGCAGGGTTGGAGTTCAGCTCCTCAAATCTTCCGAAGGAGTTGTTGATCTCATTGAGGAAGCCGGTGTCGTTCTTGCAGGAATAGGGTGTTGGTTTGTTGTCTGTGACAGACTGGATGCCCTGCCACAGTTTCCTGGTGTCGTTGGTCTTGGAAGAGACCTTGGATTTTCTGGCTGTTGGCCCGCTTGGCGTCTCTGATGGCCCGCTTCAGGTTAGCCCTTGCAGACCTGAGAGCTGCAGCATCACCAGATTTGAACGCAGCATTTCGTTCTCTCAGCTTAGTTCACACCTCCTTGGTCATCCAAGGTTTCTGGTTTGCCTGAGTAACAATTGCGTTTGTTCCCGTCTTGTTTTTTCATGCACCAACTGATGTAGTTGGACACCGATGCAGCGTACTCCTCCACGGTGGTGCGCTGGTTGTCAGTTGCAGCCTCCCTGAAGATGCTCCATTCAGTGCACTCAAAACAGTCCTGCAGTGCAGACATCGCTCCCTCAGACCATACCCGCATGATGCGACCAGCTGTGCCCCCTCTGGAGCTAATGAACCAAAATAGCAATTGCAGAAGGAACTTTGTACCATGAAGGCCTCCATATTGTTGGAGGGGGAGAAGCAGTGGGGGAAGCAGATCATGTCTCTGCAGTGTGACCATTGGATGTCGCTGAAAATTACACACTGTACCTTTAAATGAAAAAATTCTTTAGCAGCTACACACTTATTATTTGCGGCAAAAAATATATCATATCAAGAGCAAATGAAAATTACAGAAAATGATCAGAGTGAATCATTTAAAAGGAAGAACTCCAGAATGATTTAACCCATTGTTTAATTTTATCATGATTTAAAACAATTCTTTAGTTAAATACACATTTTTCCTTATTCTTAGAGGCCTGAACGGTCAAAGTAGCTCTTTTCCACCCTCCTTTAGTAAGGTAGTGCTTGGACTCAGATTAAATTGTCAAAGCTATTGGCTGGAATGCCATGTGTTATGGCAACAGTTGACGTAGCAGTAGCAGGAACCTTTTTTGTTGACATTACTAAATCGGCAGACAAAAATATTTCCATGCATGTGACACAGCCTTGCATGACTGGCCTGTTCCTTAGTGCTGCATATTTCTTCCCAAACATAAAGTTTGCTTTGTAAATAAGGCTCAAAGGATTCTGATTCTTTTGAAGTTTAGGATGTGCCTCGAAACCAATGCATTCCATGTTCCCTTTTGTCATTAGAAAAACAAATTGATAGTAAGTTTTGAGTTAATTTTAAAAGATGCAGCCACCGGTCTTTTCCTGGTTTATACAGTGGTTCTGCCTACTTTGGGTTGATCGTGCCAATTTTTATTTTGGCTTATTTATTTATTTATTTTTTCTCATTTTTGAGATAGAGTGGGCCATTTTGAATAAAACACAAAATGTAACTTTCAATGAAAGATCTGTCTGAACCCCAGAGAACTGGTCTTTTATGCCCGTTTTCCACTAGTACTTAGAGCGGTTCACTACAGATTGGTTCCCTTTTTTGATATATCCGCCAGGAAGTGAATCAGTTAATGTTTGCTTGTGATTCCAGTAAGCAAACAGACACTTGTGGTTCAATTTTTAGTGCGACTCAGAAAGGTCGGCCTAATATCTTTAATCGCTAAATAGTTTTATACTGGGCTGAACATGTATGTGATCATAAGTATAAAATAGCAGTAGTTAGCATTAGCTAACAACTGCTAGGTAATAAGTTGGCCTCTACTTATATAGTGCTTTTTCAAGTCAGGAGAATTGAAGAGATTCATTCACATACATGTACTAATGGTTGTGAGCTACATTGTAATCACAGCTGCCCTGGAGGTATAATGCAAATAGAAGCAACGCTGTACACAGGCGCCACCGGGACCACTGATCACATTTAGTTGGCAATGCGGGTAAAGTTTCTTGCCCAAGGACACAATGGCATTGAAAGCCAGAGCCATGGCTTGAACTAACAACCCTTCAGTTGTAGGTTAAACTCCTGTGTCCGATGCCACTGTCGCTAGTAGATAGAATTTAGCTTCACCTGCATTGTCTACTGATGGTGGTCAGAGGGCCCGGTGGCGCCAGTGTACGGCAGCCTCGCTTCTGTCAGTGAGCCCCAGGGAAGCTGTTGCTACAATGTAGCTTGCCACCATCAGTGTGTGAGTGTGTGCTTGAATAGGTGAATAACTGAATGTAGTGTAAAGTGCTTTGGTCAAGTCTCCTGACTTGAAAAAGTGCTATATAAGTACAGGCCATTTACCATTTATTTACCATGTACTCTTGCTTATATCCCTCCATTTCATTCCACATTGCTTCTTTTTCTTTCCTTTACATATTTGTTTTGTTTCATCTGGCTGCCAGCAGCCTGCCTTGGCACTCTTCCTGTACTCTGAGTTTGACAACAGCGATAAACAGACCAGCTTGTTTTTCTGGGATATCAGCAAAAAAAAAAAAACATGTCAGACTATAGGGTCGCCTTTCTTTTTAAGATCAAACTTCCCGCCCTAACAAGATACTACCTCACTGTAATGGAAGTAGTGGAGGGTGCTGTCCAAGCTTACATCCCTCATGGGCAGCACATCTCACCCCCTGAACCAGAGTGTAGGGGAGCTGAGCAGCTCCTTTAGTGAAAGACTTACACACTGTTTATAAAAAGGAGCGCCACAGCAGGTCATTCATCCCTGCTGCCACTAAGCTATACAATGTGACACTACAATGGCAATAACTAATAATGTGCAATTACTATTTAATACCCTGTGCAATAACCTGTTTCTTTATATTTGATACCCAGTGCAATAGTTATATATATAAATACTCATATATATATCTCCTTGAGACTTAGTCTGCCTGTTAAAAAGGAGTTTCTTAGTGTGAGGGATTGCCTTCGAGTCAATGAGTCGATGCAGTAAACTGGTTTTCCTTAGATAGAAAACTTTGAATAAATTTGAGTGTATGATCTGGTGAACTATAAAATGCCTTGAGTTGACATGTTGTGAATTGCCAGTATATAAATAAACTGAACTAAG